CTCACAGGACTAACAGGACCAATAAATAAAGAAATGTCGATTATTTTCTTAATTAATTGTCTTTTTTTCTCGCAATATAATCAAAAAGAACCGATAAGTATTGATAAGAGTACTAGGACTATTAGTGTCTGTTTTAAGATGCTACTATGAAGTGTTTTTAAAGAAGAACAAATGTTATATTGCAGTAAAATGTAAAACCGTCATCATCTCGCTGCCTCCAGCTACTTTGTTTCTGGACTTTATGTTCCTGTGTCCAGGCTGCTGGCAAGTTCACACCTTTAATAACGGACTAAACTTAGCATCCCATCTGTCTCCGTGTTCACAGAGAAGTAGTGAATATATTTCAAACAAAGAGAGTTCAATGTGTTCCTTTAACAAAACCAAGTCTGAGCTGAAAATCTTCACCAGCTTCAGAGACAAAGTAACATTCAAGTCAAGTTTGATCTTTATGTTTATTTGTTGGTCCAACTACAACAAAGTCTGCAGTCACGCTAGCAGCTCTGTGAGGCTGCACACTGCACATTTAATATCTGTAAATCTATCAAATCATTATTGTTATCAATCTCAAATATTCAACAGCATTATTGCATATTTTTCTCATATTGTGTAGCCTTACTGAAGGCTAACATTGGATGCTAACATGCTCACAATGCTTACATGCAGATGATTAGCAGGTATACATTGTCAACCATGTTCAGAATGCTAACATTAGCTAGTTAGCAGCAGCTAGAAGCTGTTGAACTCACCAGTTTCTGTTCCTGCAGTCAAAAGCTGCCACACCGTTTGAGTCTGGAGTCCATTTAATACCTGAGAGACACAGAGTCAGTACATTGATGTATATTATACATCTATTTATCTAGTACTGATGATATTAATACCTACAGTCTACCTGGAGACACACAGAGATGCAACATCTACCAAACAGAAACTTTCAACAAATATTAATAAGAAATAAACGGTCAGGTTTGATTTTGATTCCTCGTGATCATAACAAATTAAATCACATCTTAATTATCTTGTAATCATGAACTCGTTGTTTTCAGGTGACGAGGAAACATGAGCAGGTTGACGGAAATACATAAATACTTCTCCAGCGTTTCATAGATATAAATTTTTTTTTAATCGCCAAAATTACACCATTTATCACAGCCACAACATGTGAAAACAGGCATTGTTGTTGGATTTTCTCTTTCTGACGGTCCTTGAAAAACAAGTCATTAAATTTCAGTTGGACATTTACCACCAAAACTCCAGCTCTGTTGGAGATAAAGCTGAGACTAAAGCTCAGACTAAAGCTCAGACAGAAGCTTAAACTGAAACTCAGACTGAATGTTAGACTAAAGTTCAGACTAAAGCTCAGACTGAATGTTAGACTAAAGCTCAGACTGAATGTTAGAC